CCTTAAATCTCAGTGATTTAACCCAGGAAAGTTTTATTTTTTTATTCATGGCACAGTGTGATGGCTTTCTTGGATCACTTTTACTGAAATAGAAGCTCAGGCATCTAGTCTACCTTATCTTGTGAGTTCATATCTTCCAGTATGTAGATAAGAAAGAGAAAAAAAAATGGATATTGCATGAGACACTTTAGAGACCAGGTCTGGAATAGATACATATTATTTCCATTGATCTTTCTTTGGCCAGTCCCCTGCTCCCAATTGACCTGCAGGGGCAGCTGCAGCATGTGGCAGTTCTGTGTTTTCAGGAGGAGAAGGAGGATGGGCATTCAGTTTTCATCTTAAGACATTTCCTCTTCTCAACCTTAAGTCTGTTTAGAAACACTCTAGTTCCTGGGGTTCCCTGGGATGAGGAAGTATGTCCATCATCTTTACACATGTGGAGTAGAGTTATGATATTAATATAATGTATAACAACAAAAAATCTATTCTCTGAACTGATCAACTAAATACTAAGCACAGGGGCAGTTTTAAAATGTGTTCTCATAAATGACGATAGTTTTGTACACTGAAATATAAACCCTAACATGGTCAATAAGGTGAGTGATTCTGATCTTTTCTTCATCACTATTCGGAGCAGCTCTGATTTTAATTGATTCCATATTGAGATTCCCAAGATTATTTTTCATACAAGAATTTCCCTTCCAGAAAAAGCATCTGAAAAGCACTAAATTTAGGCAGGATGCTTAAGGAACCCTGGGCTCCCTTAGGCAAAGGCACACTCAAGGGTCAGAACTATCTTCCACTAAATCCAGGGGCTAGAAGAACTTTCTCACAAGATCCAAAGAACAGGCAGCCAGTGACCTAGGCTGGGGGTGGGAGTGAACCTACTTAATAAAAGGGAAGGTTTTCATAATATCCATATGGGTTGAGCCCTTAGCCTGCACCAATTCAAATTTCAGCTGACCTGAAAAACTGAGCTCTGTGGAGTTTTGGAAAATTAATCAGTACATGCTCAAGAACACTTGTATCCCCACACATTCCTTTATGAAGTTTCATGCCCATACCTTTGGCTTTGAGGTTTGTTTGCTTCATTCAGCTGCGAGTTGGAAAGGCCTGAATTCCTATCACAGCCAGGATTTTCTTCGGTTCCAAGGATTTGTTTGGTTTTGTGCCATTCTATCCCAAGTTTTATTCCTTCCATCTGATTCATATGTTTCATTACCCACTTCAGGACAGACAGAAAGAAAGAAAAGGCAAAACTGTACCTCTCTTAAAACGGGAAAAGGTTCTGGTTTGAATTTCCTGTCTGATTCTGGGTAGGTTCATTGGCAGTTGATGATTTGGATTCGGTTCAGATTGCTGTGTAAATTTCACAAAGCTCACTGCCTCCCCGTGGACCTGGATGGAGAACAGTGAGCTGTGAGACTCGGCTTAAAATCACCACTTTAGTCAGTTAGCAAGTCCAAAGTGCTTTGTCTTCACCATCTTGCGGCTTTTTACTCCTTTTGTGTGATTGCCAAAGAGACTGATTTGTCACCAGCATCTCACATTGGAGGAAATGGGGCTTAGGTAGAAATAGCCACTGTCACCACAGTCCCTCCAGTTTTTGCTGCCACCTTTTTGGTGGTGTTGTCTTAATAAACTTAAAAAATATCTTTTCGATATGCAAAATATGCACAGATAGGATAGAGAGTTCTTATCTATATAACCACACCTCATTCCCTCTGTTATTAATATCATACATGTCTACGGAACGTTTTTCATTCTAATGAACCAATATTGATACATTACTATCATGTTCATGCTCTTCTGAGTTCCTTAGATGTGACCTGTTTTCTTTATGTTCCAGGATATCGCATCCTGGATACTGCTTTACATTTAGTTGTCATGTCTTCTTTCCTTAGTCTGCTCTTTGATTGACTATTTGTTTTGGTGTGTGTGTGTGTGTGTGTGTGTGTGTGTGTGTGTGTGTGTACTAAGTTGTGAAATTATATACTTGTCATGACCCCCAGATTGGAGACCAGTGGTTTGGAGAAAATTATAGTTAAGTACTCCTGGGCTCTTAATTGCAAAATTGTTAAGGAACATGCCAAATAATAGAAGTATTCTGATGCTAGTTTACTATAATAAAAATGGAGAGGAGGTAGTTTTGTTTACAGGAATTTGAACAGAAAATAGAAGGTATCCTAGAGATGTAGAAAATTCAGGCCTAAATACCATTCAGGTCTACAGGGACCTACAGGATTTTCAAAGTAAGCATGAACATGTTTCTGCTAGCTGTGTTCATTTCTTTCAGGAATGCTGTTTGTCCTTAGTGACTCACAGCAGCCACTTTGATGGATTTTTTTTTTTTTTTTAATGTCAGATGTGGTGAGCTGCCTGGGTCTAGAAAGAGTTTGGTACATAGGTTTGAACTTCATTGGTTGTTTCCCATGGGAAAGTGAGTTGATTAGATTAAAGATGAAAGACTGTCTCAGTCAGCTGTTTAGGCCATATGCAGATGGAAGGAAGCAGGGAGGGCGGGGTGTGTACATTTGTTACAATACTTGGTCCAGATAATTTAATACAGATTCCCCACCTTTTTATTGGTGAAAGGTAGGGATCGGTAGGTCGAAGGTGATGAAAAACCTCAAAGAATTGCTAGTGCTGATAGTGTAACACCCAACCCACCCAATCACTGCCCCTAAGTGTGTTTTTGTGGGATTTGGAGAAATAGTGCAAGAGAAAGTAGAGGGAGGAGAGAAAGTGGGAGGGAATGAAAGAGAGAAAGAGAGAGAGACAGACACTCAGGGAAAGGAATTGAATGAACTCAGTGTTTCTGCTTCTCTGAGAATGAAATCTCTATGGGGTAGACAAATAGGATTTGGTGGGGTAACTCATCTTAAAAGCTTCAAGCCAAAGTGAACAGAATTCATATACCTAGTGCATGTAAAAGGATGACCTTAGAATCCATTGGCGCAAGAAATTCTCAGAAACTTTCCATCTTTCTGCTTGCCTCCAGGTGGGCAACTTGGTCATAACCAGCTATTTACTTTTTACTTGCTGTCTTATGTGATTTCCTAGGTTCTTCTCATTTAAGCAATTAAAATGAAGTGCAAAACTATAGCTAACGTGGAAAACTTAAAACAGGACAATTATTTTAAATTGTAGCAACCACTTGATCAAACATTGATTGAAGGGTTGGTGACTTATTCAATTCATTCATATTTATTTCCTCAGAACCGTCTACCCTCTGCCACCGACTCTGACTATTTAACTGATTTGTGAAGCTAGAGAGGGAAACAGAACAAGTGAATCAGTTCTGCTACTTGTTAAGTGCTCTGGCAATATAGGGGTAGGGAAGGGAATTGAAATGATGCATTTCTATTAATTTTTATTAAAATTAGAAGGAGTATGATATTTTTAATTTTGAGATGTTTGCTGTTTCCTCCTCCCAGTGAGAATAAACACACACACACACACACACACACACACCACACACCCACACACACACACCCCTCTCAAATCTCCAGTTGGGGTGGACTTTGCCCTAATATCTCAGCACCTCCTTGGCTTTTCATATTTACTTTCGATTCATTAAAGATACATTTGTGTTTCCAGTCTGCTTAGGCTTGGTCTGCTTTTCTGTTGGGAAAGTAAATGGCAAAAGACACATGACTGCCACGGGTAAACACTGCCAGGGCCACAGCTGCTGCTTAAGGGGAGAGCCTGGGCAGTTTGGAAAGATGAGGCAGTGTACAGAGAAGACCTTAGCCATGGGATAAAGGAAAATAAAACAAAGGGTTGTCCTTCCTTATTGCCTCTGTTTAGGTCCTCTAGCAAGCAGACTCTGAGACGGAATTAGAAGTGCAAGCTGTCTACTGGGGACTGGCACTGGTGAGGGATACAGGGGAGAGGGTCAGATATAGGTGAGAAGAGCCTCAGACCTTGTTGCATATCTGGCATTCATGAAGGGAGAGTAGGAAGGAAAAAGAGTTGAACAGGTGGATCTCAAGGCATCTCTGAAAAGTCTTGGCTAGGTGGATGGGGAAATGAGGTTAGAGAAGATTTGGAAACTGATTTTTCCATTTGAGGAATTCCTCCATTGGGCAAACCATCTAGCTTTATTAGGCTCTCTATCTCTGCTTACTAACCTGTGCTCAGTCATTAGCTAGAAGTAGCTCAGAGAAGCATAGCCTTGGTAGAAATGCAGCAACAGACCCCAAACTGTGGCAGCTGTAGACTGGCAGATAACTGTACATCCCACTATAGATTCTCTTTCTTATTATTTATATATTGCACATACTTAAGGTATACAATATGATGTTTTATATACATTGTTATGGTTTAAATTTGGTGTCCCCCAAAAGCTCTCATGTGAGACAATGCAAGAAGGTTTGGAGGAGAAATGATTGGGCCATAGCCTTAACCTAATCAATGGATTAATCCCCAATGGGATTAACTGAGTGGCAACTGGAAGCAGGTGGGGTATGGCTGAAGGAGGTGGCATTGGGGGCGGGTGTGGCTATGGGGTATATATTTTGTATCTGGAGAGTGGACTTTGTCTCTGCTTCCTGCTTTTCTCCTCCACCCTCTTCCACCATGATGTTCTGCCTCACCTTGAGCCTGGCAGAATGGAGCTGGTCTTCAATGGACTAAGACCTCTGAAACTGTGAGCCCCTAAATAAACCTTTCCTTCTTTACAGTTGTTCTGGTCAGGTTCTTTAGTCACAGCACTGAAAAATCTAAAACATACATATACAAAATGGAATGATCACCACAGTTAAGCAAGTATTTTTTCATGGGGAGATCTGAACAGTGCCTTCCCATGGCTGTAATAGAAGTTAAGACAGGCAAGAAATGGTGAATTCTATCTTGGATATCTGTGGTAGTTTTCCTTCACATCATAGATGAACACGAAGGCTATAAGACTTACAGTGAGTGCTATGAGTTTTCCTTTATCTCTTGAAATCCCAAGGCACCTTGCGAAAGTTAGCCTGACCCAGTTCATTTTCTTCTAGGTACCACATGTGATTCAAAAACTATCGAGAACAATTTTCAGCATGCTGATTCAACTTGTCAGAGCCGGAAGTCCCTTGGCAGACATGAGAACTATCTCACCTTCAGGTCTGTGCAGAAAGGGAAATTGATTCGCTGGTGTTTTCATTCTTTTTTCTTTTTGTGGTGCTGCTTCTAAGTACTGGAGGGTGTTGGCTTTTCTATGACTCAAAAACCATAAATCCTTCCTAAGGTGAAGGATTAATTTTTATAAATGGAAGAAGGTTAGATTTTTTTAGTTTTATACTTTAAGTGTGAGAATTGGTTACACAGAAGCAGTGGATCCAAAATGTTACAGAAGGGGAGGGAGTTGGGAGCCTAGTTAAACTATAAGCCAAAAGGTAGTTTCCGAATACCATCCTGTAGATAAATTCAGTTTTGTGAAGAGCTTTTCAAAAATAATTCGGTCACTAATATTCCATTTAGCTTGTCAAAAAATGAGCCTGTTTACTTTGATCCAAATGTTCATACTCCCCTCCTGATACCTTGCATTTCTGGGTCCAGAGAATGAAATTATTTTCACGTGAGCAATAAACTGGAATCTGAAAAATCAGAGACAAAGGGAAAGGAAATTCTCCAAAATTCTTTGGATTAATAATGACCTCTCTCAAAGTTTCATCTTTTCCAGATGCAAATTCTAGAGTGGGATGACATATTCCATGGTTATCTCTGGAACAGTAAGGAGTACATGTAGGTACTCCAAGAATGCATGGGATAAAATTGATGCAACCCGGCCTATCTCATGTAAGTGAAGCAGGTGGCTGTGCTTATGTAATGTAGGGAAAGGGGAAATGAGGTTAGAGAAGATTTGGAAACTGATTTTGCTGTGGACCAATTCTCTGTGTTAAGACCTTCCTACTATCTCTCTAAACGGAGTTTCCTGGAGGAAATCTTATCCATTTGCCTGGTTTATCTGGTTTATCCCAAACCCACTGCTTCACTTCTCATAGCTTTTCTTTTTTTTCTTTCTTTCTTTTTTTTTTTTCATTTCTCAAAGATCTAGGTATGTGGCCCTGATCTTGGCTTGCTATTGATTTCATTCCTAATGACAGCATGGTGGGAATCATGTTTTTGTTTTTGTTGTTGTTGTTTGTTTTTTTTAAAGCAGTGCACCTCCTGCTTCAAAAGAAATATAAACTATGAGAAAGGGAGGATAGAAGGTGCTCTGATTTGGATATGTTGAAAACTTAACCTCCAAATTCCTATGTTTACGGTGTTTGGAGGTGGGACCTTTGAGAAGTGATTGGGTCATGAGGGTAGAGCCGTCCCTATTGGATTAATTCATTTATGGATTCATGGCTTAATGAGTTAAGGGGTTATCATGGCAGTGGCTTTGTTATAAAAGTGAGCGTGTTCTGGCATGCTTGCCTCTCCATGTGATGTCCTCCCAGGTCGTGTTGCCACAGGAAGGCACTCACCAGAGTTAAGCAAATGCCTCCATTATGGTCTTGAACTTCCCAGCTTCCAGAACTGTGAGCTAAATTAACCTCTGTTCTTTATAAACTATCCAGTCTCAAGTGTTTGGTTAGCAACAGAAAACAGACTAAACCAGCAGGTCTGAAGCTGTCTGCCCAGCTTCCCCGCAAATCTGTATCAGAAATAGTTTGACAGTCACTGTTAAAATGGAGAGAGGTTTTTAAGAGGGTGTTTAGGTCTATAGCCCAGAGTCTAGTGCTCGTCCAATTAATAGTTTCTGTGAACTTTAGTAAATAACATCAAGAATAACAGTAGTAATTTAGTGCTTTAAAAATGCTTATGGAGGGCTGGGGCTGGGGCTCAGTGACAGAATGCTTGCCTAGTATGTGTGAGACACCGGGTTTGATCCTCAGTAACATAAAAACAAATAAATAAGATAAAGGTATGTGTCCATCTACAACTAAAAAAAAATTTAAAATAATGTTATGGATCATGAGAAATGTTGGTTAAAATTAATAATATTATAAAGATCATCTACAGGACACATGCATGTACCAAGCACTGAGCTGTTACCTCGAATGAATTATTTTATTTAAATACAACAAAACGAAGAGGGGTGGGGAAACTGACCTTCCTTCTGGTATGCAATTTCCTCTAAAACAGAGTTGGCCAAATCCAGTCCACCTCCTGTTTCCTGTTCCACCCATGAGTCAAGAATGGCTTTTGGATTTTTAAGTGGTTAGATGACATTAGAAGAAGGGCATGCCACGACACGTGAAAACTGAATCAGGGTCAATTGTCAGTGTCCATAGTTCTCATGAGACGGAGCTGTGCTCATTCACTTGGCTGTTTGTGTATGACGATGGCAGGCTGAGTGGCTGTTATAAGGACCTTATGAACCTCCAAACCTAAAATATGTGCCCTCTGACCTTTAATAAAAAATGTTTGCTGACCCCTACTCAAAACCCAAAACAACTTCTCTCCTTTCACTCCCCAAGTGATGTTTTGGGGCTGGGTTCCACTTTGATCTCTAGGTCTTGGTAACATTTGATATTTTCTCTTAGATCTAGAAAGTTAGATCTTATTTATCCTAAAACAACTGCATGGGTTTATATACAGAACATCAGAGGATGTGTTTCTAAAGATATTTCCTATTTGGACATGTGTCACATGACAAAATTTAGGAACATAACTACTAGGTTTCCCTGCAAGTTATTTATCTCAATCTTGGGTTGTTTGTTAAAGAAAAGGCCCTTCTGATTTCTCAGGTTAATACCTGAGTTTGAAACTTGTTCAGATGTGTATGAATTTTTCTCTGCATAAGGCTTCTTTTTGATTTCATTTTTTTTTTTTTTTGGAAAGGAATGAATGGGAAGAAATTAAAAGCAAAGCCGTTCCCGCTTTAAAAATGAGATGCTGGGGCATTGGAATGAGAAGAGTTCAGTTGCACGGTTGGAGGATCAGAGAAAGAGAGAAGGAAAGAGAGAACTAGGAAAAGTACCGTCATCTAATGAGAAGACAGGCGTGTGAGGAGTCCGATTTAGGAAGCCCAGAGCCCAGGGAGATGAAAAACCATACCTCAGGGGTAGGCAGGCTCCTCCAGGAAGAGGCCCAAGGACATTTTTGTGGTAGTTAAATTGCTTCCTGCAGAATCTCTGTAACTGTTGGGCATCTGAGACTTGCCTCCTGGGTGTCCCTATCTGGGTGGTAGAGCTGTGATTGTACGTGAAGGAGAAAACATGAAACGCCCCATCTATGCAGAGGAACGCGGTGTACCACCTCCCAGAGAAGAAGCCGGGCTGCTGGACTCTCAGCTGCATTCCTGAGCTCTTCTAAGGATGTGGTAAACAAACTCTCAGGATCCAGAGATTCCTGATGTGAAGCACTTTTGACGTCTTAGTTGCTCTCTTGGCACTGCACTGTACTTCGCAAGAAAATAATTATTTTGACGATTCTATTGACTGGTCTAGCCACCAAGCGGACCAGCTGTTTTCTTCTCTGCCTTCTAAAACTGTTCCAACAAAATACAAAACCTTAACTAATCAAATTTCCAAAATGATGGAAAACCAAATACCAAGGTGAGGGGAGATAAAGTATGGTGTAAAAAAAGTACGGATGAGAGCTTTCAGTTCCTAACACACATGTGTGTAAATTCACAACTGGAACCTGAAGATATGCTACTGAAGATATGCTACTCTAAGTTGGTATGCGGAAATTACACACACTTACAGGAGCCAACATCTGACACCACGTATTTTGAAAACATTTTTAATTGACTCAGCAATTGTACATATTCATGGGGTACAGTATTATGGCATTTCAATATATGTATACAATATATGATCAGATCAGGGTACCTGGCAGATTTATTACCTTAGATGTTTATTATTTCTTTTTGTTGGAAACATGCAAATCCCTCTCTATGAGCATATTGAAATATTCAATTAATTGTATTCATTCATAATTATCTTACTGTGCCTTAGAACAGTTAAAATGGGTTTCCCCTTTAACTCTTAAATCTGAGAGCTTTTATTTAATTTTGAGAGCTCACTTAACTCATCTTGGATACATCTATTATTCTTCCCACACTTTTTTTTTTTGGTCAATGTTTTTTAAGAGAAATTCACATTATATTAACTACAAGCACATACTTAAATTTCATCTGTGATTGGCACTTCTTTTTGCACAGACTATGGTAAATTTTTGATGCCTATAAATGTTTTCTTTTTAGGGGAAGGGACTGGGTTCATGAGGGGGCAAAGTGTTTGGAAGTGCTTATTATGTAGTGTACCTGTTCAGTGAAAGAATTTATTCCCTTTATGTGCCCAATTACAATTTAGTTTATAATACAATGATGTTCTTTCAGACATCAGTTATATAAACCCATTTTTTTTCTTCCTGCTAATGTAAGCAAGGTGGCATATCTTCAACTGATTGTTAGTCATTTACAGAGGTTGCTTCTTTTTCCTAACTATATGAATCCCTATGTCAACTACGGCTAGACAACATTTTTTTTTCCTATCAAATCCCACAAAACCATAGAGAAATATCGAATAAGAAATTTCCCACCAAACCAAAACAATGAAAAAGAAAACTAGAAAGTAGTTTAACAATGTATTTTTTAATTTAAATAATACAGGAATGTATAAAAATAAAAATTATTTGTTTTTACTTTCTGATAGTAAATATTTATCATATGGGTATATTTTTATGCTTTAAAAACCAGTGTTACTTTTTGTAGAAAAAATAGTGTTACTTATTGTACACACTATAATAAACTTAAAAATAGAGGAAAGTATAAAGAAGATGAAAAAATTCACCCCAAGTCTTTTTTTTTTTTGTCGTGCTGGGGATTGAACCCAGAGCCTTGTGCATGCGAGGCAAGTATTGTACCAACCGAGCTATATCCTCAGCTACCCCAAATCTTAATCACCCAGAAAAGAAACCATTGTTAATATCATATCATGATATCACGAATAGCATTTTAGAGTCCATCATTTTATGTATATATATACAGATAAATTAAAAATACTTTTATTAAGATGAACCTTATTATAGAAGACACTTTTATGAAAAAAAGTATGATTGTACTTAAAATTAATAATAGAAAAAGAATCTAAGACTTGCTGAACTTCACATAAATGTCCTTTTGAACAAGATATATTGTTTACTAAGTTTCCTGTCGGAATAAAAAATGTTTCAAAAGCAATAATCAGAAAAATGTTAAGCTATAAATATCCATCTTACATAGCATTCTCAAACTTTCTCTCATTCCTTCTTCCCCATATTTGGTTAGTACATTTTTAGAAATATGCCATTTACATTTTTCTACAACCATAATCCTCTTTGTTCAATTATTTAATTATTTAGCTCAATGTTTAAGTGGATTTAATTGTTATCAGATTTTAGAGCTTGGATTTTTTTTTTTAATTTCCATGTTCTTTGTTTTGATCCGTATTTTAATGTTTCCCAGCCAAGCAGTGATCATGGATATTATACTTCTTGGATTCTATCAGGTTTAAAGAAGCCTATTTGCTGTTTGTCTAGCCAAATGGCATCTTGGCTGGGTGCTTCATTCTTGGACCACACCTTCTTTTCTTCAGACATTGTGAGTGTTGCTCCATTGTCTTTGGAATTTACTACTGTTATGAACAAGTCAAACATTTCTCCCCACTGTACATGATTTATTTTCTGATTGCTTACTTGAAGGCTTATTTATCTTTGAGTTTTAGTGCATTTGAATTATGCTCAGTGTAGTGTTTGGTATTAAACTTTTCTGGAAAACAGAAAAAAAGAGCTTCATATTCAGAGTATTTTTTCCAACAGTTTCAGGGAAGGTCTCTTGTATTTATATGTTTGGAGTCATGTTTTCTCGTTGGGTTTGTTACTTTGAGGACAACAATTATTCTTTTGTTAGGTCATGCTTGTCTTTCTTCCATATCTATTGGAAGTTCACCTCTAAAAGTTTGATGTCTCTTTTTAAAAAACTTTACTGATCATGATTAGTTAAGGACCTCCTTCTATGTCAGTAATTTATGTTTCTTATTGTTTCTAAAATATTAATTTTTAGTGATATTGTTTGGGGCTTCAGTTACTTTTTCTACCTTGGAGTGTTGTTATCATCAGGACTTTAGATCTTGTTTTATCCAGACCATGTACTTATTAACCTTTTATATACAGCAAAACAATTTTCTTTTGACTCTTAGTGTTTTCTTGTTATTTAGTTCTTTATCTTTCCTTTGCTTTTTTCCTCCTTTATCATATAAAATTTATATAATTGCCATACCATTTTATTTTTCTCATGTGTGTTTATCTGGTTCATTCCAGACCTTCTCTTTGCTCTGATGAACTGAGGGTTACTTTTTGTTCACATTATCTGTAATTGTCTGTGCCCTAAAAGCTGGAGATCAATGAGTGAGTCTCCTTTTGTTCTAGCCACTGCTTCTATAAATCAAGAGCATGACAACAGAAGGAGAGAGCCCAGCTGGGCTACTTTGACTTTGTAAAATAACATGGGTGCTGCTTATTGTTCCAGTCCTATGTCCAGACCTGCTTGAGAGATGTTCTCCTCAACTGTGGGAAGGCAGCCTGGGCCTTTGGATGGTAGAGCTGTGGAGCTTTCTTTTTTGCAGAGCTAGTCCCTGTTTCACTGCCTTTCCCCCTCCTGCATCTCCTTCACCAACATGGTATTTGAAAAGGAAAAGATGATGACTAAGTTGGCTTCTCTCCAGACTTGATTTCCTCAAATCAGTGCCACCTCTGGGGGCGGGGGTAGGGATAAAACTGTGCAACTTCTCTGTTTCATTTCACAATCTTCTAGTCAGATTTTGAAGTGTTTTTTTTGTTTTTGTTTTGTTTTGTTTGTATTAACATAACCCTATTTATTTGTTTGGTGGCTATCGATAGTTTCTCCTCTAGATTTTAGGCTTTCCATTTCCCCCATTATTTTGTTAGATACTAGAAAAGGAATTACAGTGGTTTGGTTTTAGTCTGAAGTCTTAAAACTTAGACAAGATAGAGCAAAAGTTACATTCAAGAGGTATGTAACTGATGATAGAGTTGCAAATTCCATATCATAACCACTCAAAAGGGAGGTCATTGGGAAGAGGTATATGGTGACAAGTCCAGAAACTACAAAATGCAAGAGAATAAAAGCATAATAGAAAAGAGGAGGATTTAAAAAAAAAATAGAGGAAAATTTCATTATTTCTGATGATCAAATGATAAACTGCTTTGGTAGGCAACATTGTCTGTTTGGACTGAGAGTCTTGGTATTGGTAATGCATTATCACTGTGCTTTGAAATTCTGGTACACTTTTTAACTTTTGAAAAAATGGTTCTTCCTGTTCTGAGAAATAGCTTGGCTGTTTTTATTCTAAAACTCTAGAGTTTATGTTTGAAATAAAGTCTTATTTTCCTATGCAAACTTGAAATCTTAACAGATGTTTGAAGCAATGACTTAGATTGTAATATTTATTTTGTAGTCTGAGACATGTTGGCTAAAGGGCCAATAATCCTGAAAGTTTCTGTCATCCTGTAGCATTGGAGGGTACTAAGAAAGCAGAAACCAACTGAACACTGGGCAAGAGGAAATGTTTAGGATGGTAATGGGATCAGAATTAGGCAGAAAAGTGGGAACAATGCTGGGTACAAGCCAAGAGTCAGGATAGGGACCCAAGGTCCTTGAGAATATTTACTAAGGGTGCCATAGGAATTGCATTAAACAAAAAGGCAAGTGTCCAGCTAAAAGCCACCAACTAGGAGAGCCACAGGGATCAGGACCAAGGTGGGCAGGAGCAGAGTTCTAACAAGGAGTGGAGCTGGAAGTCGCTTGTTTTCTGTCATCTTTATTTTATCTTGACTGTGGGAAGAGTAAACTGAGATGGAAACCTGCAAGGATGAGAACCGATCATTCTGACTGAGTGGGGCAAGAGAGAAAGAAAGAGAGCATCTTATCCCTTTGATATCCTCCAGCTGTCTAATTGACATATTTCCTCTGTCATGGAAGGCCTGCTTCAAGACTGAATTAATTCTGAATCAACATTTACAAGTATTTGATTTCTGATTTTTCTCTTTCAAATTCAGTTTTTAAAATTGAGTTCAAAACTTGATTGAGGAAACATATAATAAATGGTACTTAGTTCAAATACACTATTTGAGTTTTGACAGAAGCATGTATCAGTGAAACCACCAATACAATCAGGATAGCATACATTGCCATCAAAATGTGGAACATTTTCCCTAACTTGCAACTCCTCACTTCTTTCACATCTTTCTCAATTCATTTTTTTAAATTTCTATTTTCATTGTGATGAAATATATAGGGATTTTTAAAAATTAGAGAAATGTTTATCCTTTAAACATATTAATAAAAGTCATTTTAAAGTCTATCCATGTGAACTCTAAAATCTGAATTACTTTTGTCTTTTTCCCTCTGTTTTTTCAGTCATTAGTCTGATCTTATAATCTATCTTGTAAGTTTTGATTAAATGCTAGGCATGATATATGAAAAGATTACAGCAATAATTGGAGACTCTAGATAGTGTTTTCTTCCTTGGAGAGAGTTTAAAGCAGAGAGAGAGACATCCCCTTAATCCAGTCTGGGGACTGTTCTAATTTGAAGCAGAGTTTAGTCTTGGTAAGGATGAGTCTATTTCTGGTTCACCTTTATTACTAAGGTGAAGCCCTTTAGAAGTTTTATCTGAAGCCTGGATTTATTGGCATATCAGCAGTCCTCCTCCTTGGTGAGCTCTGAAGTTCTATTGAAAGTGCATTTTTATCTTTTCAGCTTCTCAACCAATGCTTACAACTTGAAAAATGTCTTAGGGGAGAAGAACACTGCTTGGCTCAGAGCAATGCTTGTCTCTTCCTGTAATCTTGGCTTCAAGTCTTGGCTGGCAGCTGTGTGATACCTTCAAACACACACACACACACACACACACACACACACTGAGCTATGCATTATCTTGTGTGCTCTTAGTTTGTGGCTTCTTTACCTCATTATGAAGGTAGTCATCCAAACCAGGAATCTGGGTGTCATCTTCAATTTTTCTTTCATTGCCTGAATCTAAGCAATCACCAAATCCTGTTTTATCTTGTAAAAATTCCTCTCATCTCTCCTTTCCCTTATAATAAGGTTACTGTTTTAATTTGGAACTCATAATTTTCTTTCTTTGAGCAACAATATTCTAAGCAGATTTACAGAGAAGTGCACACAAGTGTACAAAAGTCAATCTGTTTGAAGTCTATCACAGCCATCTCCACGTTCTGAGACTCCTGGTCTCTGAGTTCTGTGATCTAAGTTTAGAACTCGGCCTCTAAGCCCAAACTTAGACACTAGGAGTGCACTTGTGCAGGGATAAGAAAGAAGAGTTAGAAACTTCACACAAACCCCAGCAAGGTGAGAAAAGCTGCCTGAGGAGGGGGAAAAAAGTGCTGCTGTCCCCTATTAAATTTTCTCCCAACTCATCTGTTACAGGTTTATGCGAGGAAAGAAAAAAAAATCATTGTGAGTTCAAAAACTACGCAAGTTAAAGTCACTACTAGAAGAAGATGATGAGTGAAATTCATTTTATTGTTTTGAGAACCTTTCATGAAGACCAATGAAGAATAACTTGGAAGAGGAGCAACCATTCTCTGAATTTTCCTCTTCATTCTAACGCTGTCTGTTTTGGGAACGGAGGACTGGTTGAATAACTCAGTGACGGCTGGAAGCTTTCTCTCTCACTACAGCTTTATGGAAAGTGGTATTAACAAAGTCAAAGAAGTGATGATCAAATCTTAGGGTGAGAAGAAACCAATGTATTAGCTGCTTCTGCCAATGTCAGGGGCTGCACCAGCTGTCATCACAGCCTAGACCTTAATTTATGAGTTAGTGCAAATCAGATATCATTTTTAAGTACACTTTCCAGAAAACTCGCCAGGAATTCCTTTGGGCAACAGAGGATCCTCTTGTAATACAAACCATTCCAAATTTGGGAGAATACAATGAGAGAGAAATTTCAACAGTCTGCCAAAATCAAGTTATTATGTGAGTCAGGAATAATGCACTTGCCCTTTAGTTGGGGGACTGACTTGATTAAAGAAAAAGTAAGCTGAAACATTTACTAGAAAGCAAATGATCTTGTAGCAACAGCTAATCTCTGACCTGGGTGAATTTTTATCATCCTGCTTTAGAGAGAACACGGGAGTACCCCTGAGGACCAAAGTCCCATCATCAACTGATCACCAATTCATGATCAGAAAATTCATGGGTCCTGTAAGGGAAAAGAATGTACAGTAGTGATCTTCACACTGTCGCTGCTCATTGCAGAATCTTTAAAAACCTGATGCTCAGAGACTTTCATCAAAGACTGTACGAATTAAATGAGAATATCCAAGGCTGGGCCCTCAGGCATGAGTAGTTTAGAAAATTCCCCAGATGATTCAGAAATACAGTGAAGATAGAGAACTAATCAGTGTTTCCAAGCAGAGAAAAGATTCTCATCCTAGTTGCACATTAGCATCACCAGGAGAAAATCTGAAAAACTACCAATGTCAGGCATCACTAAGAATTTAAGCAAAGTGTGCAAGGGATAGGGCCCAGAAGGTTTTCACCTCATGGCCTGAGTGGTTCCAGACTCAGCACATCAACATCATATGGTAACTTTTTAGCAATACAAATTCTTGAACCCCCAACCCACACCAATGGAACCAGAATATCCAGGGATGGGGTCCAGTGTTTTGCATTTTAACAGGCTTTGATATATACTGACATTTAAGAACCACTAGTTATAGTGAATAAGAGCTGGTCTCTGGGACTAAACTATCTAGGTTCAAAGCTTGCCGCTTATCTATGGAGTAAGTTAACTTTTTTGTGCCCCAATCTCCTCTTCTGTCAAATGGAAATAAGAATAAGGTCTCCTAAGAGCATTGCTAAAATGTGCACCATGAGTAACTTTTAAGCAAGGACTGGCATATGATAAACTCTAGGGAGTGCTTGCTAAATAAGCGTGTATATATGCTATTCTAAAGAGATGTGACTCTGCTGATATTTAGTAGGCATCATTTGTCACCGCTGCAGAAATGTGAGTGGGCTTGCTCCTGTGATTTCCTATCTGATTTCCTATCTTAAGTCTGTGGACCAGTCTCCAGGCAGGCAAATTCCTGGGAAGATGATCTTTCATGGGGAAAATATTAAAAACTGTAGGTAATTTTCCAGTCTGTAGAACTTGTCACCTATTGGTAAGTGATTTTTGAATTATTACTCATGTGGAAAAGTGGGGTTTTGAAGTTGGTTTACAGGAAAAATTGGGTCAGCTTTCAGAGACTTCTCACTCTCTTCACAGCAGCTGAATCCCAGAGTGAAGATGAAGGCAGCCTTCATGAGAGAGCATTCCCCAGGATTCCCTTGAAGAATGTCAGACCAGCTGGAATGAAACTTGTTGAGGTCCTGAGGGAAGCGTAAAATCCAACAGTTATTATGGAATGGATTCTTCTAAAGAAAGAGTGCATTTGGCTTTGATGACATCTTTGTAGCATTCGGTTGCCTTCTAGAAAGCCCACTGAGAATTGGGGCTCTTCCTGGAAGCACTCCATTCATCTGTTGAAAGAATGGCTTGTTATGGTACCCCCTCACCTTACAAACTGGATTTCCCTCCAAAGCCTGTTTGCAATATTTTCCCTGAATCTTGGATGTGTTTCCCCACAAGCACTGCTATCTCTTTTTCTGTGGCTCAGTCTGGGATGTCTCCTGCAGATCCAAACCTACACCTGTAGCATGCAGCACAGCACCTGTACCGTGGCTCACCATGGCCCTTGCCTCAGCCTCTGAAAGTTTTCTTTATGAAAATTATCCTTCCTAAAGGACGATCACAGATTTGAAGCCAGCCTCAGCAACTTAGCAAGGTTGTAAGCAAGTGAAATTCTGTCTCAAAAAATAAAAAGGACCGGGGATGTGGCTCAGTGGTTAAGCATTCTTGGGTTTGATCTTTGGCACCAAACCAAAAAAAAAAAAAAAAAATTATTCCTTCTTAAGGAGAAGAATCATGTTTTCTACATCTTTTGTATTCTTTATGGTTCTTAATACATAGTTCTTAATAATTGGATGCTTTTTCTATGTTTTTCTTTTTATCTTGACTGCCTAGAAGCTCTGCCTTAAATATAAAAATTAAATTACAGAAGGAATTTCATTGCTGATTCACTTAATTCTTTATATTTTTATGTGGTTTCAGTTGGCTTTATTCAACTTTTCAAAGAATGTAGGATATCACTCTATTAAAAATATATTTTTAGTTCAATTAAACCTTTTGCACCAAATTATATTTAATATCCTACACACTTCAAAAACTCTGATTTAAAGAAGTTCTTATTCTGGGATATATGTGTGTGTGTGTGCGTGTGTGTGTGTGTGTGTGTGTGTGTGAGAGAGAGAGAGAGAGAGAAGAGAGATTGTGTATATACATAAACACACACACATATATACTTAAGTGTGTATATATGTATATGTACATGAACATATATGTATATGTACACACATGCTTACATGAAGTGTGTATATACATACATACATATCTAGACACCCACATATATACACGCTTCATGTAAGTATATATATGTATGTGTGTGTATATATATGTAGTACACAAGTATACATATGTATGTGTGTATATGTATATATATACTTACATGAAGTGTATATATAAGTACAATTCATGTAAGTATATGCGTGTGTATGTATATGTACACATATACACACTACAAGAGAGTTTTTATACTATATAGTATACTATATAACAGTGTATATATAATGTATATAGATAACATACTATATATATTTCTATGCATTACACATATAATGTATAAATACGTAAGTACTTATATGCTTTATATATAAAATAGTATATATACATATATACACATACACACATATATTTATACATTGTGCATGCATGAGCACATATTTTTAGAGAGAGAGTGCCTCTAGCTTTCATTAGTTTATCTAAAAATTTTATGATTGTCTTCTTGCCTTCCCATGCAACCAAAAGTTTAAAAATCACTGAGTGAGTAGGACCTGGAAGTAGTATCCAATAATATGAATTCACACAACTCTGTCCTCAGTTCTCCCTCCCAGTCAGTAAACATCATCATTCATTTTTGGCCTTGCCAGCAATTGTTCTTCTGGCCAAGCAAGCAGATGAATGACTATTAATGGAGCCAGTTCAAAGCAAGGCACAGTTGGCTGGCTTTGGATCCCAAAGGACACCCTCAATTAGACTTTGGCTAGAGGGAGGTCAGAGCTCAGTAGGTGAACCCTGCCTCTGAAGAGGGAGCAGGCAGAGAGGGCTGGTGACAGGCAGCGCACAGGTGCCAGGCACAGAGATGCCTTCTGGTTAAGCTGTGCTGTGCTGTGCCCAGAGCCGGAGGCAGCAATGGCACCTATAAACCAGAGAGCTGGGTGTCAAACCACAGAAGTGAAATCTACCAAAGTGTGGATGAGTCATAGCAGTAGCACGTTTTGAGTCCATGCAAGGATCGCTTCCCAGGAGACCCAAGACAGTATTTTCCAGAGATGTTTGATTCAGATCCCCTGAGCTGGCTCAGGATTTTGTGCTGCTGCTGAGGGGTGTGGAGTGCTTGAATCCTCACTTCCCCATCCTCTTCAGCCAGAGAAGCAAGGCCCTGAGCTGTTTAAGGGTAAAGTGCACACTAAGTCACTTACTCCTTTTGTTTCCTTGTAGGAGGAGCTTGGCGGTTTTAAGGCTTCTGCCTTCCCACTCTCTCCTCTCTAGAGGAGGAGGAGTGCTATATCTGATGAGGGATCTTGGGAGGAGCGCCTGAGAATCACAGCCTCAGCCCCACAGCTCCCCTCTGGCTTAGGGTCAGCCTGCCTCAGAGGACATGAGCTTTCTCCTTGGTTGTTCTGTGCTAGGTTTTCCCAGGGCAGACTCCTTGATGGAAGATTAGGGATTGTCCAGCGCCACCATGGATACACTTTTTGGGGTGTGATGCTGGCATACTCATTTGATCATCACATCTAAGGCACAGTCTCCAGGGGCTTTATCAGTAATAAAAGCAATATTTTTATCTGTCTGCCTGATACCCATGTTTATTTCTTTCTATTGGTTCTGAAAATGAGATAGTAGCACCGGGATGCTTTGTATTGGTTCTTTAAATTCTTCTAGTTTATAAAGCTTGAAACCTTCTGATTTCAGGCTCTGAGGGTGGTTTGGAATGCAGAGGATCAATTGGACTGGCTGCTGTCAGTAGGCAGGAGATCTTGGAGAAATGAGGGGTTGGAGGACAAGCTGGCAAATAAGGGGTCACCCCTCCCCACCAATCTCAGAAGCCACCAAACTTTGTAAGCTGATTTGGCTTAAGCTGACTTCACATTCCAGTCTCTTCAGTCTGATTCTGAGTGATGCTAACCAGAATCCCTAACCAGTATATCGAACAAGTCACATTTGATCTGGTGAGATCATGATGTCATTTTTTTTTATGACTTATCTAGCAAA